TGGATTCTTCCTCCTATGGTATAGATTACAAGGGATAGAAACTCACTCTGGTTATTCAGAGAGCCTGGGAAATGAAGATTGGAATTTGCATGTACACTTGGCTCGCAGCCACAAGATGGCAGGAAGAGACCAGTAAACACAGGCAAAGACCTGGCTCTTCCCAGCTCTGCAGAGGACGGCCCTGGGGACCCTTGTTCCACCTTGAGGAAAACAACCTGCCGATGTCTGGCGAACTCACCCTTCTCGGTAAATTGGTATGGACAGAAATAATTTTCTTTTCTCTTGAGTTCCCTGTAAAACAGTGAGAGGTGCTGAGTAAAACAAGAAGAGGCTGTGAAGTTTGATGGTGAAGGTACCCAGTAGAGAGGGATGAGTGTTTCTGCTCTTCCTCTCTCTCTCACTCCGCCTCTCTTTCTCCCTGTGCAAAATAGAGGTGCTGACTGTGACCTTCCTGACTGTGATAAAGCAGGTAAGGAATACAATGCGCAAAGTGCCCTGAGAGCCACAGAGGAAAGATGTTTTTCTAGAAAGATTGGCATCAGTCCACCATGTGTGTCTGACCCTCCTGGAGCCTTCCGGGTGCACATAATGTGCCCTGGTACAGGGTGACTATAGACCAGGATTGTTTCTAAATGTGCCTCCCATTCTGACATGATTGTCTACTTACGTAAGACAGTGATACCAGTGGAGTTACAGACACTTGCCAGAAAGAAGTGCCAGAGGCAGAGGGAAAGATACTTTGGTCATATGGGAGGATTCTGGGGAGGATCCTGTCCAACCCTGTTCTCACCAAGCCTGGTTCTTGGTCTCAACTCTCCCACCTGGAGATAAAGGACTGCCTATTGCATAAGCCCCTCCCAAGGATCAGCGGAGATGACAAGAAACGTTAATTCTGATCCGAATCAAGTTTGCATATAACCATGTGTGGCAGTTAGAGATGGCCTCTCCCTGGTCCTTTGTGCTGAATTTCACCATGTTCTGAGCATACCTGCTTGTCATCTTGGAGTCTAGGTACCTCATCGCATTAGCCGTGGTGGGAGGGCACTGTCTATGGTCAGCTGGTCAGCCAGTTTTGATTTCTTTCTGCTTCTACGGAGTCACTTCATCCTATTTCATAAATATCATTGTAATTTCTTGGCATCTGAGGCTGGGAAATGAGCAACAGAACTGGGGTCACTGTGTATTTTCACTTTAGTTAAGAAATGCTTCTTGAGACTTTACTAAAGCTCCGTCTGTCCCCACCCCGACCCTCCAAATGTGTTGTACGTGGTGGCTGGCAGGAGAGAATGAGAGTGAACTGTGGAAGCCTTGGGAGTGACTAGGATGAAGGCACTCAGGGAGGAGGGAGCCCACTCGGGCCTTGGCGAGTAGGTTCTGTCCAGGGATCCTGTCCTCTCTAAGTACAGCGGTGGCAGCTTCATGCTGGCTCTTGGGGAAACTGGCCTAAGAACAAGCCCTTCTTTGCAGGGAGCATTTTCACCAGGAGAAAGTCTGGAGGCTGCAATGAAAGGAACTTGAGAAGGAGAATTAAAGTGGAGACAGGTCACTGGTACCAAACAACTCTGGAACATGCGGGCATTGGTGGGGCTCTGCTCTGGGAGCACTGGGGGCATGGGGGCTGCAAGCACACGCAGAGCTCAGCTGCTGGCCAGCCTGAGGGGCCTGCTGGGCCGCTGAATGCACTCAGGGGCTGCCTGATGGTGGCCATTTGCCCGGGTCTAGGGGACCACGACAGCCCGACAGCCCAGACGGCAGCAGCAAGAGTTAGGGAGCCCACAGCAAGTGGGTTCATGACAATGCACAGTGACCCCCGCAGAGAGAGTGATGTCAAACAGCACCGCTCAGATGCTTTCAGCAAGGGTGGCGGCGGCAAGGGGTATCTGTGCCAGACCAGGGATACCAGGTCCCCACTCGGCTCAGGACGCAGAGTAGACCAGCCCACCCCGGTTCACGCAGGGTTCGTGCAGACAAACAACGGCGCAGATACGGACAAGGGTCTCCACAGGCAAGTCCAGGCTTCAAGATTATTCTGAAAAATTACCCTTTTGGGAGAAAAATGTTCCAGAATTGGGTCTCATCCCTGAAGTTGATTCATTTACTTTTCAACAACTATTCCATTTTTTAGAGATATGCAAGATTAGAATAGGGAGTGGTGGTTATAAAACCCAGCTCATCTCTTTTTCAAAAGGGATTTTTTTCTCCCCAAGCAGAATCTTTGCTATGACAACAGTTACAGGCAAACTAAGGCATGAGTGTAAAGACATTAAGCCCATCATCCACTCAGGCAGGATCCCCTTGCTGATGAGAAAATGTTGCCATCTTTCCTTGGCCTAATCCCCAAAGAACAGGAAGCCAGGCATCTCAGAATGTGGCTAAAGGGCCATCAGTCAGATACAAAATATCTATTGTTATCTTTTGCCCACCTTTCTATAAATGAGGGCTTCCTTTTAGTGTCAAAAGGAACTAAAGCATCTCCCATGATCATGGCTCTACTGCATTATCCATTGAGAATAATTCATAATGACAAGCATTTGTGACAGTGCTTAAATACCATTCGAAAATCGTAACACGTGGATGTGTGAGGTAGTATTTTTCAGTCTCAGGCAAAGGTTGGAAGATATTGGCAGAGCCATCATAACCGCTCCTAGAAATGCAGGAGGGGAAAAAGCTAAGAAGTTTATTATTCAGTTTTAAAAATGGGAGCTTGACTTCACAGAATTGGAATTAGCATAGCACTGGGAGACTGAGAGCTTTGGGACAAGTCAGGGATTTACTTAGCACTTGACACAGTACTTTTCACCCACAGAGTCCCTTCGGTAGTGTGGCTGAATAACTGGGGATTACTAAGGGAGCTGTGGAGGGGAGGGGCCGCCTGTGTTCAGAAAGTGTCCCGGGACCCCAGCTCCTCTGCACATGAGAGAAGCAGGTGGCTGTCTAGAGGCTCAGCACCTGGGACCTTCCCTCAGAACCTCTCCGAGTCTCAGCTGGCTTGGGAAATGTGAACCTTGTAGACAGAAGCTGCCTGAAATCAGCCTGGCTCTATTCCAGGTTCATTTTGGTGCTTCGAAAAGTAGAGTCCATTTTTCTACCTAGAGAGTGGTTCTCTTCCCCTGGATATCTTAGAGGGAGATGGTAAAGGAAACATAAATCGGCAGCCTGATCCTCCAAGACTAGCCTGCAGTCAGACCTTTTCGTGGGGGTGGGGGGTGGGGGTGGCAAGTCTGTTTTGCACCCCTGCCTCCCAGGGAGAGGTCTGGAAGTCCAAAGACTTCTTTCTCAGATGGCACAGGGTTGTGATGCAAGAGCAGGAGAGCACCCTGGCTAAGCACAGGAGAACTAGGTTGTATTTTGTATTTTACACTTGAGTCAGGGACATGGATCTGGTGACTGTGGGCAGGAAATGCAATTGGGGCATATTCATAATAAGTCATGGGTCCCCAGGAAGTTTGGCAGAGCCCACCTAAAGAAAATTAGATCTTCCTAAAGAATACCTCTAAAACATACTAACAAAAACTAGCAGAAAGCAGGTTGCCTTATGCTAACAAAAATCCAGCAGAAATAAAGGATCTCTCAGAGTGGTCAGCTTTCTATGGTTAAAAGCCAAATGAGTCTGGTAACTTTATTACAATACTTTTCTTGTCTCCTTTGCATTCAGGGACACTTGGCATCCTTTATCACAGCCACGATACCATTAGGTACCCGTGAAAGGCTTCAGTTAAAAAAAAAAAATGTGATTTTGTAAGCTCTAATGATCTACTGGTTCAGTAAATGGTCAGAGCTCGCCACCAAAGGCACCCTGTATGGACAGGGACTGTTGTTTAAATAACAACCATCTCTGTGCTCAGTGACATCACAAGTGTGGGGAGATTCTAAACATCAGTCCTCTTTTTCTCCCTCTTGCCCTCCCTTGCTTGCTTCCTTCTACATTTATTGAACATCTACTATGTGCTAGAGATACAAAGACAAATCAGACACAATCTCTGGCCTCAAATCCCTGGCCTCAATGAGCTTCTGGTCTGGTGGAGAAATAGCAAAGATGGTTCTTGCTAAAAAAGACCTACATCTAATGGTTAGGAATAGGTAAGCCATGAAGAGATAACAAATGTCCCCAGCACATAAAGAAGGAAAAACACAACAGCTCTGTGGCATTTTATCTGAATATCAATGATACGGGCCAGAGTTTCATTTGTAAAAGGATGCAAACAGAAGGTGTTAGATAAGTGCTTTCTGAAGAAATTAATTAGCACAGTCACAGATGCTAGCACCAAGGGCTCCTGAGGTTGTCCTCTAGGCTAGCCCTTTCATTTTATAGAAGGGGACACTGAGCCATGGGAAGGTCAGATGGCCTGTGTGAGCTGAGAATGGAGCAGGGAATGGCAGCCATGTCCCTTGGTCCTTGTGCTTTTTCTCCCATGTTGCTTCTGGTCTGAGTGTTCAACAACTAATTTTTTTCTTTTTTCTTTTCTTTTCTTTTCTATCATTTCATTTCGTTTTACTTTACCTACTTGACTGAGGGATGATTGGTATACAAAAAGCTGTAAATATTTAAGGTATACACCTTGATGAGTTTAGAGATAAGTATATGCCCTCCCAGACTGTCACCACCAAGGCCATAAACTTATTCATCATCAACTCTTCTAAAAGTTTATTTCTGTCCCGTTTCTTTTTTTCTTTCTTTTCATTACTTTTTTTTTCTTTTGTGGTAAGAGTATTAACATAAGATGTCCCCTCTTAGCCAAATTTAAAGTATACGATACAGAATTGTTAACTACAGGTCCTGTGTTTGTACAGATCTCCAGAATTTACTCATCTTGTGTAACTGAAACTTCATACCCTTTGACACCTCCTCAGAACACACGATTTTTTAAAAGGGATTAAAACACAGTCTTTGTATTCAAATAGCTCAGAGTCTGGGAGGGAAGATTCCACTGCAAAAGGACTAAGGCTAAGCTGAAGGAGAAGGAAGTGGGGTTCTGGGCATTAAACAGAACAGAATAAACTAGTTTTAAAAGAATGTTTAAGAGAAATCCTTTATAACAAGAGAAATGTGGTTCCGCTGGGTCAGTGTAGTGTGACCTCCGTAACGTTCACTTCAGGTGGTGGAGTCTGTGAGGTGTGTATGAGGTCAGAGCCAGGGCCTGATGCCCAGCGAGGGCCTGCGGTAGATTCTGGGCCACATACTTCCAACCCAGCCATCTGTCTTCCAGATGCTGATGAGGAGAAGCAGAGGTCAGGATGGAGACTGCGTAGGAACGTGGAGAGTGTGTGGTCTTCGTAAGTCAGCCAGACCTGGGTCCTGGTCCCGCTTCTGTCATGGCCTCTGCTGAGAAACTTCCAGCTTGAGGCTTTCATTTTCCTCATTGATGAAATGGAGAGAACATCGTCTCCTTTCAGGGGCAGTTGTGACTTTATGATGATTAAATACACGGAGAAGCTACTAGTATAGGCATGCTTCTTAGCAGATGCTCAGTAAATATCAGTTAAATCCAGATTGTTTAAATCCAACATCACTAAAAGAAGAAAATAACAAAATTAAACGGTTCAGCGATTTTAAGTGCTAGTGGGAATGTGGACAAGGAGCACACGCATCCAGTGCTGGTGAGAGTGTAAATGGTACAACCACTTCAGAGAACAGTCCAGCATTCAGTGAAGCGGAAGATGCCTATGACCCAGAAACTCCTTGATTAACTATAGACCAAAGTCATGCCCATACACCTAGGAATGCCAGAACAACAATGTTCTCAACTGCCCTGAAATGGAAACAACCCAATTAGCAATCAATGTTAGAATAGAGAAACTAACTATATAGAGATTATAGATAGATGGAGAGCTATTCATTTGTATGAATGACTATTTGGCAACAAAGATGAATGAAGCAGAGCACCATTATGGGTGAACCTTACAGTATCAAGAGAGAAAGTAAGACCCAAAAGAACACATAGAGATCACATGCGCAGTGTGATCCCATTCATATAAGGATCCAAAAAAGGGCAAAACCAAAGGAGAGTGTGGGGTGCCTGGGTGGCCCAGTCAGTTAAGTGTCCGACTTCCGCTCAGGTCACGATCTCCCGGTTCATGGGTTCGAGCCCTCTGTCAGGCTCTGTGTTGACAGCTTGGAGCCTGGAGTCTGCTTTGGATTCTGTGTCTCCCTCTCTCTCTGACCCTCCCCTGCTCACGCTCTGCCTCTCTCTCTCAAAAATAAAATAAACATTTACAATTTTTAATAAAAGAAAACTAAAGGAGAGTGTGTAGGGATGCAAACAAGGTAGAAAGCTATAAAGAAAAGCAAAGAAATTACCACAAATTTAGGAGTGATGACTTTTAAGGAGATAGAGGAGAGCTTTGATGGAGAAGGGCACCTCAGAGACTTTAGGGTGCTGGTAATCTTCTATTTCTTCTTTAAATATATTTTTAAATGTTTATTTTTGAAAGAGAGAAAGAGAAAGGGAGGGAGAGAGAGAGGCAGAGAGAGAGGCAGAGAGATTGGGAGACAGGATCCGAAGCAGGCTGTGTACTATCAGTGCAAAGCCTGATTCAGGGCTCAAACCTATGAACTGCAAGATCATGACCAGAGACAAAGTCAGACGCTTAACCAACTGAGCCACCCAGGCGTCCCTTCTATTTCTTGACCTTAATGGTAGTTAAATGATGTTCTTTTAACAGCCATTCATTAAACTGTTCTGTCACATAAAGTGTAAACTCTTCTGTGACTTTCTATAAGCATGTTATATTTCTCAAAAAAGCGAAAAAAAGAAAGTATATGTTGAAAAAGAAGATAGGCATATCATCCTCACAAATATAGGACAAGTACAAAATATAGATGTCTTTTAAAATATTTTAAGTGCCTTTGTTTCATATTGGATAAGTTGAAAGATTCAAGGTCAATAAACTTTTTTTTCTTTATAATATCTGAAAAAATGAAAGCATTAGGCGGGACCACATTCAGGACTTCTAGAAGGGATTTTCCAAGCATTCTCATCTTCTGAGTATTTCTTGAATCCAGAAGTTAAGCAACAATGACGTAAGAATTCTGAGTGGCCTGATTTCAATATTAATATACTACAACTGTGGGAAAGGGGAGGAGGACTAACTTAAAACATACACAGAGAAACTAGATCTGATACTTTTGAGAAAGGAATGCAATTCTCATTGTTCACTTGGGGATCAATTTGTTAAAAGGAACGACTTCTTGGTAATAGTTTATAGGGGGAGGGAAGAAAAAGTCAAAATGACTTTTTTCAGACTGAGCCTTATGGAATTCTTCCACCTGTGGTTTCCCCAGCTCAGCTCTGATTCTCTATTCAGCAGGTGAAGAAAGTTGATTTCACCACTTAACACAAAGCTGTCAGATCCTGGGGGACAGCTGAGAATGGTCTCTGAGGCCACTGACTGTCCCCGGCTGTTGGAGTCTCCTCTCTGCTGCCTGTGCACTGGTGAAAGGCCAGCTGTCGGGGCCGCAGGCTCTCCCACTTCTGGGCTCCTTGTGGGTCACAGCCTTCCAGTTGGTTGTCATGACAACCGATTCACTCCTCAACCACATAGTTTCATCGCACAACAAATGAGGAAAAAAAGGGTGGGGGCCTTGGCTCAAACGTTATCTTATTATTGGTGGGCCAGATCCCTACAAACTCCAAAGCAAGTTTCACTCTTCATAGTGAAGAGGAGAGCCTGACCCAAAGTGACCGGGTTTGCTTAGTTCCCTAAACAGGACAGGTACCCTAGGGATTGTATTTTTTTATGGAATTATTCACTTGGCTTCATCATTTGTTTCCAAAATACAGATTTTATAAAAGTTTATTTTGAGAGTGAAAAATTTTTTTAAAAAGCCCTCACATTATACATTTGAGAATTGAAGTTGCAAAAGAGCTCCAAATGCTATGCAAATATGTGCCGTTCAGATGTTATGCTTTCATAAAATGACGTGTGTTTGGAGGCCTGGATGCTTCTTCCTCACATATAGTCTCATTTCGCAGTTTTGTCACCTATTTTGTTGGCATCAGTGGTCTCTCCAGAAATGAGCACAGGTAACCCTTGAGAGGGAGCAGAAATGTGACTGAGATTAAAGGAATGTGAACTACCCAGAGAGTCAGGCGACGGAATGAAGGTGAGGCCTTTCCAACACGTGGACAAGAGTGGATTCACCAGCAACCAGAATTTCCTCTCTGGTGAGAACGCAGGTGCTCAGGCCAGAGGTCCAGAATGCTTCGCGGAGTGGGCAGCCTGGACTCAGAAAGCAGGTCCCGCTAATGGCACAAGGACCCCCTACTCAGGCCACGAAGAGTGGGTCTGCCAGGACCTGAACTGAAAGAGAAGTTCCTCTGGCAAAGGGAAAACTTTCTTCTAAGACATTCAAACCATCACTAATGAATAACATTCCAACTCAAATACACCATCTTTATAAGGCAACCGTGGAAGCTTACTCAGTACTTTTGTATGCCAGGCTTTGCTGTAGCATATGCTCAGGCCTCATACCTTGCTTGTTTGAGGATTTTAAACTGTTTACATCAGACTTGCAAAATTTGATTGCAAAAATTGTCCAACTTTTATGTTTCCTCTGCTGCCTTCCTGTTCCACAGATTTACTCCGCTTCCTGCTGTAGATGTAGGAGAGGCAATAATCATGTCTCGTGAGCCCTGAAACATACCCTGGGGGGGTTTTAGATTATTCTAGAAAGCTATACACTAGTGGACATGCCATATTGCATCAGGTAGATGTAAGTCTGAGGAATAATGAATGGTTTCACGTGGCCTTAATTTCTTTAAAGTACCACATCAATGTTTTAAAGCAATTTGTATGTAAGATTCTAATTACTAGGCATTTAAAATAGATTTCCCAATGAGTAGACATTGATACAGGCCTACTTTATAAGTCTTCCCCAAATAAGAAATGGAGTGGATGGACCACTTACAAGGTCCAATGCCATCTGCCGCAGGCCAGTCAGTGGGCAGCATTGCGTTAATTCTAATTTCCTTTAGAAGGGATTTGTTGGGGGTCACCTGGGTGGCACAGCTGGTTAAGCATCCAACTTCAACCCAGGTCATGGTCCTGCGGTCTGGTCTGTGAGTTCCAGCCCCGCATTGGACTCTGTGCTGACAGCTTGGAGCCTGGAGCCTGCTTCGGATTCTACATCTCCCTCTGTCTCTCCTTGTGCTCTGCCTCTGTTTCTCAAAAATAAATAAACATTAAAAAAAATTGAGAAGTGATTTTTTTTTTGGATCTTATAATAGAATTTAGAAACTGTGGTCACAAACTCAATCCTTATTGCTGGCTTTCAAAAGAAGAGTTGAGTACTTCCTTCAAGTGGCAAACAACAACCTATAAGGCAATCAGCCTGGCCCCGAGGTCTTCAAGGACCTAAACTCTAGTTGGGAAGAAAAAATTAAAAATAAACAAGAAGACTTTGATTTCAAATCTATTTAGCTTTTGTGGGTTTCTTTTGAACTCTGTTCTTTGCTTATATTTTCAAGCTTCTCTTTTATTTCTTGAAATATATTAAACACACGTATTTTCTGTGTCTGCTTATTCCAATATCCCAATTCTTTGTGTATCTGATCTTTTTTGTTTCTATCTGCTCTTACTTATGGAGGCTTGCTTCCTTATTTGTTTTGTTTTCTGATTGTAAACATCTGTTCTTGAAACTTTATCTGGGGGCATTCTTTGGGGCCGAAGTTCAAGATCTTCTCCTCCAGAGAGGATTGTGTCTGCTCTTGCCAGTTGTTTGGAGTATCCCAAACTTGAACTCATTAAGTTTTTAAAATTCCATGGTATCAGGAATTTAGATCACAATCTTACATGCAGATAACACTGTAGCAATGAACTCTCAAGGAAGATTCATATATCTTTTTGGTTTTTCTCCATCCAGCACCAGGATCAATCCAGACAAATTTGGGGGGTGCAGTCTTCTTCTGCAGAGCAAGTCACTTTCACATTCATCTTTACTTTGGCTCTTTGGAATCCCAGTTTTGTCAGAAAGGTTCTTTTTTTAAAAATACATATATGTGTTTTATATGAAATTTTTTCACCCAATTTTACTAAGGTATAGTTGACATGTAACACTGTGTAAGTTTAAGTTGTACAGTATGTGCTCACTTCAGCAGCACATAAACTAAAATTGGAATGATACAAAGATTAGCATAGCCCCCATGCAAGCATGACATACAAATTTGTGAAGCATTCCATATTTTTTTTAAAAAGGTACACAGCATGATTATTTGATATATGTATATATTGTGCAATGATTATCACCATTATGTTAGTTAACACATCCATCACTTCACATAATTACCCTTGTGTGTGTGAGTGTGGGGGCGGGGGGATAAGAACATTTAAGATTTACTCTCTTAGTAACTTTCAAGTATACAGTGTTCTTAACTATAGTCTCCATGCTGTACATTAGATCCCCAGAACTTATCTTATAACTGAAAGTTTGTACCCTTTGACCAACATCTCTCCATTTCCTCACAAAAAGCCCCTGGCAACTACCAACCTACTCTCTATTTCTATGAATTCAACTTTTTTAAGATTCTACATATATGTGAGATACTACAGTCTTTCCATCCAACATGGATGGAACTTGAGGGCGTTATGCTGAGTGAAGTAAGTCAGGCAGAGAAGGACAGATACCATATGTTTGCACATACAGGAGGATTAGGAGGAACTTAACGGAGGACCATGGGTGAGAAGAAGGGGAAAAAATAGTGGGGGAGAGGGAGGGAGGCAAACCATGAGAGACTCTTGAATGCTGAGAACAAACTGAAGGCCGATGGGGTGGGGAGGAGGGGAAGGGGGGTGATGGGCATGGAGAAGGGCACTTGTGGGGATGAGCACTGGGTGTTATACGGAAACCAACTTGACAATAAACTATTTTAAAAAAAAGTTTCATCCATGTTGTCACAAATGGCAGGACTTCTTTCTTTTTTATGGCTAATATTCCATTGCATATACACTACATCTTCTTTATTCCTTTATCCCTCAGTGGACAGTTGTTTACATGCCTTGAGAAACATGCCCTGGATATTGTGAATTATGCTGCAATGAATATTGGGGGGTGCAGATATCTTTTTGAGATAATTATTTTGTTTCCTTTGGATCTCCAGAAGTGAGATTGCTGGATCATATTGCTGTTCTATTCTTAATGTTTTGAGGAACCTCTTTACTGTTTTCCATAGTGGTTGTGCCAATCTACATTGGGATAGGTTCTTACTATGCTCATGATCTTGGATAGGCTTAAGGGTTTATCTTCTGTGTCTCCACCATTGCATACCTGTCAATGTGGAAGCTCAAGGACACTGCTGACGGATTTTCTAGGAGCTTGCTCACTTTCCAGGGGTCCCATCTTAACTTTGTTTTTGACTTCTTTGGTTTCCCTACTTTCTTGCCAGTTCAATGATTCATTTTATTTTATTTTATTTTTTTAAATATTTTTTTATTTATTTCTAGGAGAGAGAGAGAGAGAGAGAGACAGTGTAAGCAGGGGAGTGTCAGAGAGAGAGGGAGTCACAGACTGAAACAGGCTCCAGGCTCTGAGCTGGCAGTCAGCACAGAGCCCAACGCGGAGCTCGAACCCACAAACCGCAAGATCATGACCTAAGTGAAAGTCGGACTCTTAACAGACTAAACCACCCAGGAGCCCCTCAATGATTCATTTTAAAACCTAGTAAAACATCTTAACCATCTTTAGTTTCATCAAGAGGCTTGTTTTGGGTTTTTACTCCATCGCAGTAAGTTGAAGTGCTTTAAAAATAAGGATAGACAGGGACACCTGGGTAGCTCAGTTGGCTAAACATCTGAATTTTGGCTCATGTCATGATCTTGAGATTTGAGGGTTTGAGCCCCTCATTGGGCTCTGAGCTGGTGGTGTGGAGCCTGCTTGGGATTCTCTCTCTCTATCTCAGAATAAACTTTAAAAATAATAAAAATTATAAAAATTAGACAATGAATAATCAATTGCTTAGCAGAATTGAAGTAGTTTCTCAAATGCTTCGGTTTCCTTCACTTTCTACTGAGAACAAATCTTTGTCTTCAGAACACCAGACAGTGGCTAAGGGTAGTGGGGACAATGGTGTGCTAGCAAACTGACTTTCAGGAAAAACAAAAACTTGACAAAACTCACAAAAGACTTGATTGTTAGCATCGCCAATTTCTGTGGGGGTAACAACTCCCACAGCAATCCATTTCAAGCAACCAATTTGGTTCACTAAACAGAGTTCAGAAGGGATGTGCACAGTTGTTTCTCATGAGCTGGAATGAGCCAACTCCACTGTGCCCGTGTAGAAGCAGAAGATACAAGTTAGGTGGCTAAGTCCAAAGTCTAGAGGTCTGTCAGGAGACCTAAATGAAGAGGGCCTGATGATATAGAGGTGCGCTGGCGAGCACATACCAGCTAATTGTTGCCTTGTGTTACCAGAGTTTCTTACTCTTCAAGAAGAATGAGAAATCTTGACTTTCAGGTGAAATATCCTCCTTTTCAACTGTTGCCAATTGACTCAAAAACTTTAAGAGCACATGAGAGACCCAAGAAAACAACCTGATGGGTGCAGATTTGGCAAAACACCAGCTTTGGGTTGACTGGGTTTGTACTTGGGGGTTATGTTTGCTTGTCTGGTTCCAGCTCTGTTTCTCTAGGCTAAATGGCCCATCTAGATAAGAACTGCAGGGTTGGTGAAGGAGCACATGCCATGGGCCCACGCAGGCTTTGGTTCAAATTCTGGGCCTGCCATTCATTGTGTGACCCAGGACAAAATGCTGTAAAATGAGAGGGATGGTCCCTGCTGGGGTAGGTTATCCTAGAGACAAACTTAGATGGGTATGAGACCTGCCCCCTTGTGCATACTTAACGGTCTGTCATTATTCTTGAGCAGAAACCAATAGTCACAGCTGAGAGCAAACACTGGAGTGTAGAGAAGAGAGACCTCAAATTCAGTGTTCTCAGTTTTCACTGCTGTAGAGTCACCTGGCAAACATTAAAAAAAAAAAAATCAATGCCAGACCATACTCTTCAGTTGGTCCAAAATGAAGCCTGGGCATCACTGTATTAAAAGCTCGCCTTCCCCAGTATTCTAATCCTAAATGCTTTAGAGTCATCTCATTTAATCTAATCTTTCCAATATTATTCTCATTTCATGAATGAGAAACTAAGGTCAAGGGTTAAGTAATAGCCCAAGGTCACATACCTGGTAAGCGAGGGGATCCGGCTTAAGCCCAGAGGCTGAATTCTTAACGCCATGCCATTTAGCATTTAGTATATCTATCCCATATGGTCTTTGTGAGGGCAAAGTGCTGCAAATAAAGTGCTTAGTTCAGGACCTAGATGTGACAAATAAAGGTTAGCTATCATTATCTCATAATACCCAAACAGAGAATCCTTTCCATTTCCTCTTCTCTATGCGATTCCCTTTCAGGTAAACCTTCAGTCTTTTTTGGATCCCCCACTTCTTCCCCGCTGTAAATATTTCTAGTTGTCCTCCAAATGAATCCTAGGACAGTCACTATAATGCCTAGGGGAGGCTCGGCCTGGGTGTGTCATGCCTGAAGGAGGCAAAGAGGAGGAGAGAGGACAGGAGCTCCAGAGATTCTTGGAGAGGGTGGTGATGAAATCTGCTGCGAATGATGCTTCATTATATAACGAAAATTCAACTGAGTAAAATTGAAGATCAAATGGGTTTTGTTAAACCATTATGCACTGAGCGGCATCCTATCCAGCAGTAGAAAGGAGCTCCACCGAGCTATAGAGAAGGAAAGGTTTTTAAAGGTGGCAAGGGGGTGGAAAAAGAAATTATTAGCAAAGAATGCATTGTTTCTGCAAGGTTGCCTTCCTAAGGGGACTGGACAGGGGACTTCCCATGGAGTCGGTTATCTCAGTAGTGCTGACCAGGTAATTCTATGCTGACTGGTTACAGGTTACATCCCTGGGGGTGGGATGGGGTGGGTGTTGGAACTGCGGTTACGGTTAGGGATAAAGTCTTGGTTTGTTGATGTGGGACTTAGCATAAGTAACTCCATCTTAGACCTGCTGTCTCCTTAACACCCTGAAAGACAAGGCAAAGTTCAAGCTCTTTCGTACATAGTATTCTGTATATTTTCCCTGTGAGGACTTTGCTGAGGAATGGGGAAACGGAGGAAGGGACTAATGGGGGTGTCAAAGGGTGGGGAGCAGCTCTAGACCTGAATATTCGGGATCCTTCTTTCTTACCGGCTGGGTCACACATTTGTTTGGAGGCTTATACCGTATTTGTTTTCTGTCTTCATTGTTGAGATGGATGTAGAAGCCAGTCGTAGAGGGAAATGAACCTTTGTTTGATGGACAGCATGCTCAGTCCCTGGAATTTAGGTTCTGGGATCAGAGGAGTATGCAGCTGACTTAGGTGCAAGAAGCATTGGGCGAGGACACAGGTGCTGAATAGTGGCCCCCTCAGAGGCAGAGCTCTAGCATCTACCAGCAATTGCCTCACATTTAGATGTTGGAAATGGTGAATTTACTTAGATTATTCGGGTAAAAAACTTTGTAAAGTTTTGTTCCTCCAGTGACTGAATTTACAACGGGGTGAACAATCACCACCTCAACTCAACTGTAAAAATTAACAAGAAGTGAGTTAAGAAGTGGGGAAAGTTTTGAGGCACCTGGATAGCTCAGTTGGTTAAGTATCTGACTTTGGCTCAGGTCATGATCTTGCAGTCCTTGAGTATGAGCTCTGTGTCGGGCTCTGTGCTGACAGCTTGGAGCCTGGAGCCTGCTTCAGGTTCTGTGTCTCCCTATCTCTCTGTCCCTCCCTCTCTCTCTCAAAAATAAACCTTAAAAAAAAAAAAAAAAGATGTGGGGAAGGTTTTGACCAAAAATTCTACCACAAAGGTAAGGCTGGCATTCCTTCTCCATCAATGACCATAACTTACTCAGCTTTCCTATACAGATCTTCCTTGACTTATGATATGGTTATGTCCGGAAAATACCCAGTGTAAGTTTAAAATGCATTTAATGTACCTAACCTACTAAACATCAGAGCTTAGCCTTGCCTACATTAAACATGCTCAGAACACTTCTATTAATCTACAGTTGGGCAAAATAATCTAACAAATCCTACTTTATAATAAAATGTTATCTCATGTCATTTATTGAATACCATACTGAAAGTGAAAAACAGAATGACCATATAGGTATCAAACAGCTCTAAGTATATTGGTTGCCAAGGCCAGTGATCAAGTGGCTGGCTGGGAACGGAGGCTCAGTGCTGCTGCCTGGCATCACAAGAAATGATCTACCGCATATGGCTGGGGGCTGGGGCAAAAGATTAACACTCACAATTTGAAGTAGGGTTTCTACTGAATGTGAATCGCTTGCACATCACTGTAAAGCTGAAAAATCCTAAATCGAACACTTCTAAGTTTGGGATTACATGTACTAGAAAGAGGTAGGGAGAAAAAAGGAGTGAGTAAGAAATAAAGGAGCAGAGAGGCCTTTGTGGGGAAAGCAAAGGTCAAAGTAATTTCCAGCTAAAATGTAACAATCACTGAGATTCAACCTTTTAGTCTTCCAAGGTTTGCCCATAGGGACAAATTACAAGGGTAAATTCTCTGAGTAAGATGCACATTTACCAAGCTGAGAATGTTTATGGTCATTTGAAGTTTTTGTTACTTTATTTTTTTCTACTTGAATTTTGACCTCAACTCATTTGAAGCTTACCCAACACTATACATGACCTCTTGCTTTTATCTTGTACTGCTTTGCAACTCTTGAAATACCGAATTTTTAAAGTCTTATCCCAAGGCTGTGAGCTTTTTGAGGGACATAGCTATATCATGTCCCCAAGCCCCCATTCCTCACCAAGGGGGTCACAAAGAGCTCAATTAATCTACTAGACCTTTAACACTTCCAGTTTTTTAAAATGCCCTTGGGGTATGCATTCTGTAAATGGACACTCAACAGGTTTATAGTAAAAAGCTAAGAGAGCCCAGCCAGTGTAAACATATTCTAAGTCTGCATGTCTGTACGTTAACGACAAAAGATTGCTTAGATTCAGTTTTTTTTTTTTTTTTTTTTTTTTACGGTGAGTTATAAAGATTAAGCAGGAACAACTGAAAGTTCTTTGTATTTTATGCTGTATCACGATGCAAAACACTGGGCTCTGGGTTCCTCCCAAAACGCTGAACACGCTGAACAGGACTCCTGGTAACATGCCCAAAGCCCCCCCTCCCCCCCATGTGCTCTTTGAAGCCCCAGTCCACCACCTCACCCCCCCCTCCCCCCCGGGACACCTTCAGTTGAGAGTTGTCCCGCATCACGGTCCACATTGCCAGGCTATAAACCAAACGGAAGCTCAGGGCTCTCAGGACAGGCCCACAATGAGAAAAGTGGAGCAGCAGGCACAGGAGCAACACCAGGAAGCAGTCAGAGCCCCCTTTCCCAGAGTTCCCTTCCAAAGACATGCCAAAGTAGCAAAAGCCCATTTGTACGTGGCAGAGCTGTATGCCCAAGTGACGGGCGCATTCTGGGGACATTGTGAGCAAGAAACCGAGGTCACGAACTACGCAAGGTGATACGTCTACCTCGCGGCCAGGGTGTAGTGTGGCAGGGAGTATGTGAGCATGTGAAATCGGCTCCGGAACCTGTGGCCGCGGAGCCCGGCCGGCTTTGTTCCCGAAATGTGATTGAGCGAGCCAAAGCCGGGCTTAAAGAAGGCAGCGTTCGGTGGCGGGAAGTCGTCTTTTCCGTAGGGGCTTTCGCAGCGCGCGAAAGTCGCCATCAGGCTCACCGGCCTCAGCCAGCCGCTGCGCTGGAATCCTGCAGCGGAGACAGCCTGCCCGGCCCGTGAGCGGAGCCCGGAGAGGTCGTGGCGAGGGCCTGCCGCGTCCCCCAGCCAGCGCGGGCTGCCCCACGCGCCCGCCACTCCGCAGCGCGGCCAGCACAACATTCCATTTAAAAATAACACCCACGTGCGCTGGTAAACAAGCGCGCGCGGCTACTGCTGCCGCGCGCCCCGGGCGAGCCAGTTCGGCGCGCGCCCGCCCTCCTCCCGCACGTGTCTGCCGGCTCCGCCCGCGCCGCTCCGGCGTGTCTCACTCTCCACCCCCTCGGACGGCCGCGCACCGCCCCGAAGCCCCAAGCCCGGCAGCTCCCGGGCCCTAGCGTCCCCCGACTCTGCCAGGCGCGCCCCGCAGGGTGCTCTCCAACTTTCTTCCCCCGACACCACCACCTCGCAGCAGGACCCATCGCCCCAGGTCTGCTCCCCTTCTTCCCTCCTCTGTCCTCCCAAGTCTCCGTCCTCTGAACTCTCCTCAGCGCGCGAAGAATTGGCTTCAGGTTCGCCCTCTCTCTCTCTCCTCTCCTCCCTCCCCTCCTTTCTTCCTTAGAATTTTACTCGATTGTTTATTATTTGCTGGGGGCGGGGGCGGGGGGCGGAGAGGGGTGTCTGGGGCCTGGAGACTGGTGTCCGCGGCCAGTCAGCGCGCGGCGTGGTTTGACGAGTAGGCGGTGCAGCGAATGGGGACGCGGCGCAGAGCTCCCGGGTCACGCGCGTGTGGATACAATGACATCATCTGTTTGTACGCGTCGAACTAGCTTGGTGCAGGGGCGGGGCCGTGCGTCACTTGAGTGACGGGCCCTGCGCAAAGCCCGGAGCCTGGAATCCGCTGGGTGGGCGGACTCCTGAGTACCCTGGGTTGGACCTTTTTTGTGTATTGGGTTGTTGAGGAGCGAGCTCTGGACTCTCAGGTATCTCCTGTGACTGAGAAGGATTTAAGAAAAAAGGGGGAAAAAGATATTTATGAACCAAAGCGAATAGAGCTTTGGTGTGCGTATCGCACGTAGTGCAAACTTAGTGTATAAATGAACAGTTTAGGCACTGATGATAGGATAAGGACTTGTTAAGATGTTTTCCTAAGCCTAAATCAGTAGCTTAAAAAAAAAAACTTAAAAATGCACAATTAGCCGTTCTGGAGCCATTTTCAAATTAGAATCAATTTAGTTTCCATTCATAATTGTTCAACATCTGCCCTTGCGTTTAGGAATGGGGGATAATTTGCATTTTCCTGAGTTAGTTACACTTCTCCCCTCATTTGCCGTGAAATCCCCAAGTCGAGCGTCCTAGGTAAGAGACTCCACTGCAAACCTTCCGGTGCCTGATCAAATCTGAGGGCATCACTTTATCGAAGTCCCGTATGGCACCAACATCTTCGCTTGTCAGTATTTCCACGCCGTGGCAACCTCTGCGATCTGCGGTCAGCGTCTTATCTCGGGTGTTACCTGGTGTCCGATTCTAACGGGGAACCGGACACCAGGGCGGGCCCAGAGCCTGGCGGACGGACGCGCCCGCCGGGGACCCCCGGTACCAGGCGCCCTGCTCCGAGTCTGAGAGGCCACGCGACCGCGCTCGTGGAGCGTTCGGGGCTCTGCTCTCCCCCTCCTTCTCCTAGGCCGGCGCCGCGCTTTGTTGTTGTTGAGACTCTCGGGAGGAGGAGCCCAGCGGGGACGGCTGCGGGAGCCCGCCTAGTCCCGGCCCACGGCGCGCGCCCCGACACCCACGCCCGCAGTCCCGCGGAGCCGGGCCGCGCAGGCGCGCGCGCGAGCACACATATACACACACGCACGCACACAGCACACCCGGGCCCGCCGCCCAGCCCTCCCCCTGGGCGGGGACCCGCCCGCCCGCCGTCAGCTTAGGTTGAGGCACCCTGCGTGTGTCTATAACTTTGTGCTGCTGCCGCGGCCGCCCTGCTCGTGGAAGGGAGGAGGAGGAGGAGGAATGTGGAAGGCGGCGGCGCGCAGGCTGACAGGCGTTTCCTCAGGCGGGCTGCGGCGGCGGCCGGAGCGCCTCTCTCTCGCCGAGGTTGCGCGCCCCCTCCTCGCCGTGCCCCGGGCCCGCGCGGGATTGTGCGTCCTCCCCCCTCGTCCCTGAAGGGAAGGAACTGAGGTAGGCGCCGGAGCTGTGCAGCGGGGCGGCCGCCTTCCCGGTGACTCCGGATCTGCTTCCGAGCTGGGCCAGGCGCTTCCCTTTTCCCTCCCCGTGACTCGGTGTGCGCGCCCCCCTTCCCTCCCGCTAGTGTTTTTAAAGGACTTGAGTGAAGGGGGGAAAACTGTCAAGATGGCAGCAGCGGGAGCAAGGAGGTGATGAACGTGCTAGTCCGGGTTTTCTGGCAGCCCGGGAGACTTGGCGCTTCCTGACCTGTTGGAAGATTTATGTTCCGACTTGTCCCCTCCCCGCGTTCTTTACAGGGAAGGGGGTGGAGAGTACAACGTCCGCGAGCAAATAAACCACACAAAACCCCAAAGTGGTCGTTCCTGCTTGGCTCGACCCTTTGCAAACACCCGCCGAGCTGGTTGCCCCCCTGCTTCCCGTCTGGTCTTTTTTCTGGAAGTGACAAGGGCCCGTCCGCGCTCGGACTCGTGTTCGCCCTCCGGGTCCGCGGGCCAAGAGAAGAGAAGGTGGCTACCCGTGCCGTTCCCGGGCTCGCGCCCCTGAGCTAGGCGAGGGGGGACAAGGGGGTGCAGAGGCGGCAGGGCCAGGGGCGAGGAGCAGAGGAGCGGAAGACGCCACAGACTTTGGCTGCGGCGCCGCGGGAAGCACTTGAACGGGCCCGAGCGAAACATAAACAAACGCACGCCCGCTCGGGCTCCGACCGCCGCTCGGCTGCGCCAGCTCCGGCCGCTGCCCGCTTTAAAGGCGCGGCCCGCGCCCCTCCCCCGCCCCCGCCCCTCCCCCTTCTTCCCCGCCCAGCCACCTAGCCCTGGAGGGACCTGCAGTTCTGGCGGCCGAGGCGGCGGGGGGAGGGGGCTGCCCCGTGCGAGCCCGTCGATTCGCTCCCGTCTCCCCCGCGGCCTGGCCGGGGGGCGGTGTCTGCTGCGCCAGGTTCGCGGGACGCACGTCTCCAGGTCTGCCTGCTTCGGGGAGGCGGGCGCCGTGCGGCCGGGAAGCGGCGGCAGCGGGCGAGGACTCGCCGAGGACCTGGCTCCAGCCCGGGATAATCAACTCTTCTCTCTCCTCTCGTGCTTCCCCAGGCGGCGGCAGTAGCGGCAGCGGCTCCCGGGAGCCCGAGCCTTCGCGGCGCCCCCGTCCCTCCCCCGCCGCACCCCGCCCCGGCGCGAGAGGAGAGCGCGAGAGCCCGAGCCGCGGGCGGGCGGCGAAGATGGCAGAGGCACCGGCCTCCCCGGCCCCGCTCTCTCCGCTCGAAGTGGAGCTGGACCCGGAGTTCGAGCCCCAGAGCCGGCCGCGCTCCTGTACGTGGCCCCTGCAGAGGCCAGAGCTCCAGGGGAGCCCGGCCAAGCCCTCGGGGGAGACGGCCGCTGATTCCATGATCCCCGAAGAGGAGGACGATGAAGACGACGAGGACGGCAGCGGTAGGGCCGGCTCGGCCATGGCGATCGGCGGCGGCGGGAGCGGCACGCTGGGCTCCGGGCTGCTCCTTGAAGACTCGGCCCGGCTGCTGGCTCCCGGAGGGCAGGACTCCGGGTCCGGGCCAGCCCCCGCGGCGGGCGCGCTGAGCGGGGGCACGCAGACGCCGCTGCAGCCTCAGCAGCCGCTGCCACCGCCGCAGCCGGGGGCGGCTGGGGGCTCCGGGCAGCCGAGGAAATGCTCGTCGCGGCGGAACGCCTGGGGGAACCTGTCCTACGCCGACCTGATCACTCGCGCCATCGAGAGCTCCCCGGACAAACGGCTCACTCTGTCCCAGATCTACGAGTGGATGGTGCGCTGCGTGCCCTACTTCAAGGATAAGGGCGACAGCAACAGCTCGGCCGGGTGGAAGGTGCGTACCCACCTCGGGCGGGCGGCCGGCCGGACCCGCCGGGCCTCCTGCGCAGTGCCAGACGCGCCTTCGATTCATCGGAGCGCGCCTGCCGGCGCTGGGGAGAGGGGTTGGCCCCGAGAGCCTCCGCTGTGAGGTTTCGGGGGATCTGTGTGACCCCCAGAGGAGGGGAACCTGGGGTCGGCCGCGGAGGGGGGTTGGGGAAAGGAGGCTTCCAGGGAAGCCTCGGGCTTGGCCAGGTGAGGAGAGGGGGCAAGGGATGCCGGCGAGGGAAGGACTGGCGGACGGGAGTGCGTTTGCTGGAGTCCCCGGACTGCGCGGAGGAGGTAGGTCTGCGACTAACTTCGAAGTAGAAATCACCGTAGTGGGGGTGCGGGGAGGGCCCTGCGGGTGGAGTGAGAGGATGTGGGGGGAGTGTTTGGGACTTGGTGCCCAGAGAAGGGGTTGGTTTGTGGCTCTCAAGTCGGTCACAGGAGTATGGTCGTTGTCACTAGCTGGATGAGAACCCTTACGTCGAAGTTTCTAGCTTGTGGGTGTTAATTCCCACAGGCATACCGGTCCCACTAGAAAAAGCAGTGGTTGTAAACCTTTTCCTCTTTTCTTGCGTGTGTTGACATCCTTATTCCTTAGAGATGTTTTCCCAGTTAAACGTGCCCCCAAACTTCA